GTTTCTAACTGCTGACCTTGAGGTTAGCAGCCCAACTCATAACCACTACACTATCAAATCACTTTATTAGTGTCTTATTGTTGTTGTTGTTGTTAAGTGCCATCGAGTCCGTTCTGACCCATAGCGACCCTGTACAGGGTTTCTGAGGATGTAAATCTTTACGGGAGTAGAAAGCCTAATCTTTCTCCCGCAGAGCAGCTGGTAGTTTCGAACCGCTGACCTTAAGGTTCGCAGCCTACTGCCAAAACAAAGTACCACAAACTGATGGCTTCTAAGCAGAAAATTGCTGTCACATAGGTCTGCAGGCTGCTGAGCCATTAGCTGATTCCTTCTGAGAAGAATCTTCTTTTCCATGCGTCTCTCTCAGTTTCTGGTGACAACGGGGATCCTTGACCTTCCTTGGCTGGCAGATCACTCTGGTGTCTCTGCCCCTGTCTTCATTTGGCTGTCTTCCCACTTCTCTTTATAAGGACACCACTCATATTGGGTTGGAATCCTATCCGGTTGGATCAGTACTGGACTGTTAACTGCAAGGTTGATGGTTCAAATATACCAGTCACTCTTTGGAAACCCCATACAGGGGTCACTATGAGTTGGAACTGACTCGAAGGCATTTAACAACAACATATTGAGTTAGAACTAGGGCTTTGAACGGGGTTCATTCTGGATGGATCCCCTGCTGAGAATTTGCCTTCCCACCCAAGATCTACTGAATCTGGACCTACATTTTCACAATATCCCAGGTGATTCTTAAGTGTCCAGAATCACCTGGGAATTTTGTTAAAATGTAGCTTCTGATTCAGTATATGGGGGCAGGGAGGATGTGGGGGGAGGCAAATTTTCAGCAGGGGATCCATCCAGAATGAACTGGCTCAAAGCCCTAGTTAGAGCCCACCCTACTCCGGTATAAACTGTCAAATACCTTCAAAGGCCCTGCTTCCAAACAAGTCCACATTCACAACTTCTGGGAATTAGAACTGGAGCACATCTTTTTGGGGAACACATTCCATTCATAACACCATTCCTTTCATCCTCACCCCTTCCTCCACTGGGTTTCCAGTCTTGCTCTCGATGGCTCCCTACTTCATTACTGATAATTAATAGACGACACAATACTCTTTTTTCAATCAAGTCCATTTTTCAAGAGGACAACGACTTGTTGGAGTCCTTGTGTGGTACTGTAGCATCAACACTGCAGTGCTAGCCACAAAATTGGTGGTTTAAACCCATCTGCTGCTCCTTGGAAATCCTATACAGGGTTGTTATGAGTCAGAACTGACTTAATGACACTTACACCACACCACAAGTTGTTAATGAAAAGGAATGAAGTGTGATGGAATAGATACAGTGGAACAGAACAGATACCCCCTTCCCCAAGTCTTAATCATTTAGTTAACAAATGCCTGCTTAGCTTTCTTATTAAACAATTTAACTTCACTTTGTAAATCAACCAGAATGGTTTAACCACATTCTGACCGTCAGTCTGAGCTAGCTGGAGACACAGTGTACAGGCTCTGAGTCAGACTGTCTGGGTTCAAATCTCCAGACTTCTACTTATTGGTTGTGTGATCTTAGGCAAGTTGTAAAACCTCTTACCCTGGTGACTTCATCTATAACATGGGGCTCCAAAAGTGTCCTACCTCGTTCAGCTATTGCATTAAATGAGGCAATCCATGTAAAGCATTTAGCACAGATGTTATATTGAAAGGGATAATAACGCATGTAAGGCCTGGCCCACAGTTGGTGTTTAATAAAAGCGATTATCATCCCATTCTTTGTCTTGGGATGCACTCACTTCCTCATAGAGACACCAATACTTGGAGTGCTAAAGTGTATTTTGTAGACAGGATGTGTTACTATGTGGTGGAGAAAGAACTAGCTATTGTGAGTGGTCAAGCCGATTCTAACTCATAGCAACCACATATGACAGAGGAGAACTGCCCCGTAGGGTTTCTGGGCTGTAATATTTATGGGGACACATTGCCAGGCTTTTGTCTTGCAGAGCCTCTGGGTGGGTTCGAACCACTGCCCTTTCAGTTAGCAGCCGGGTGCTTAACCATCGCACTACCAGGGCTTCTTGGAGAAAGACCTAGAGAGGCAGTAAATGACCTGGGCGTGGGCTTTCCCTTACTGTTGAATGGTCATGCAGAACTCACTTACTGTTTCTGGGTCTCAGTTTTCCATCTCTAACGTGTTAAGGATGGGACCAGCCAGGGATTTTCCAGGGTTGTAAATTCAAATGTTTAGAGAGGCCAACAGGTAATAACACTTAGGCCGGGAATAAGGCTATACACAGAGAGTGGTGGGGGTGAGGGTTCACTGTAGACTCTTGCTACTAAAAGTATGGGCATCACCTTGGAGCTCCTGAGAAACAATAGAATCTCAGAACCCACTTGAAACAAAAAACCAACCAACCCACTGCTGCCAAGTCCATTCTGACTCATAAAGTACTCCATGGTACAACAATAGAACTGCGGCTGTAAACCTTTATGGAAGCAGAAAGTTTTTCTCCCTCAGAGTGGCTGGTGTTTTCAGATCTCCAACCTTACGGTTAGCAGCCAGGTGCTTTAACCACTGCACCACCAGGGCTCCGAACGACCCAGCCCCCAAGCTACTGAAGAAGAATCTGCCTTTTAAAAAGAGCCTCCATTATCTGTATGCACAGGACAGTTCGAGAATGTTGTGGAGCAAAAGCCTTTAGTTGTGTGGCACTGTAGGATTAGCACAGGACTGCAAGGTCAGTTTGAACCACAAGGTCACCGGTTCAAACTCATCAGTTGCTCCTTGGAAACTCTATACTGGGTCCATATGGGTTTGAACCGACTCAATGGCATTCAACAATAACAGCAACTTTTAGTGGTGTGTGCATATGGGATGGCTGGTTGATTTTGAATGCCAGAAAAACAAACAAAAGGATTTCTGGGCTGCATCAGGTCTTAGGTGGCTGGGTGACCAGTGGGATAAAGCACTGGACCACAAAGTTGGTTTGAACAACAAGATTGGTGCTTCAAACTCATCAGTTGCTCCCTGGAAACTCTATACAGTGTTGTTAAGATTCGGAACCGACTCCACTGCATTTAACAGAAATAACGTGTGGCCCGCTCTAGGGTTCTCTCTCTGAGACACACTCTTTCATTCTAAGTTAGTGTCTCTGGGTTTGTGACAGGTAATGAAGACCAAGTTAGGGTTGATAGGCACAGTCATTCTTGGATGGAGGGGACCTCAAGATGTCATTTGCTCAGGTAACCTGCTACTGTGCCCATTAGCAGAACTCAGTGAATTCCATGGTGACCCACTGACCTAAATTTACATCTGTGTAAGGGGTGGCTTACACTCAGAACATGTCACCCATTTCATTCACACCTTCTGTGTGTCAACCCTGGATGCAGTCTCATGCATATGTAAATAAAGTAGCTGCCAGGGCTTTTATTGGCACATTATTGTCATTAAGTGCCATTATGTCAGTTTCGACTCATCATACCCTGTATAGCGTTTCCAAGGAGCGGCTGGTGAATTGAACCGCCGACATTGTGGTTCAAACCGACCCTGCGGACAGCGCCGCACCACACTGATACACATTAGTACAAGACAACGCCGCACTATTAGAATCAGCGCTATTCCGGTTTCCAAGGCCTGCAAACTCGATTAATTTTACTCTCTAATGCATAATAATTGTTCTCCGTGTCTGTCAGCACTTCCCTGCGACTTCCTGACTGAGCAGGGGACAGACGGTTTCCTTCGTTTGGTCAGAGAAGGCCCAAAGCCTCCCGAACGGATATCCGGCTCGCAGGATGCAGAAGACGCAAAGGCCTCATTGTTCCTTGGGGTCCGCCTGCCCCTCCCCCAGCCCAGAGGACACTGGGCACAGAATCCCGCTTGTCGAGGCGGGCCCATTTCTCAGGAGTGGGGCCTTCAGAAGAAGCAAGGAAGCGGGCTAAGCCCAGATCTGGAATCTGGTGTTCTGAGCACATCTGGAATCTGGTGTTCTGAGCACAACACTGGAAGGAAGTTAAGCATACCAACATAAAAAACCCTGGAATTGGAAAATGCATTTCCATCCCGGCTCGACCAGGGCCTCGCTCCCCCGCAACCGAGATTCAGTCTGTGTTACTACTTAATTTGCATAAGTTTTGTGGCACTGAGGGTCCGTGATTGCAGGCTCCGAATGATGCAAGGGGATTTCATAGCCAGCCGCTTCTCAAGGCCGGATCTCTTGAGTACCGTCCAGCCGGCTCCCCGAAAACTTGCGGGGGCCGCGGGCGGTCTGGGCGCCCAGGACGTCTTGAGCGCAGACCCGTGACTACATCCCGCGGTCGCCGGGGGGCGCTCGTGCTGCGCGGCCACCGGCGCTGGTCACCCTCTTCGGGTCACCGCCGACTCGGAGACCCTTCGCGTCTTCTAAGGAAACAAAGTGCACCTTTGTCAGCGACCTGGCGCGTATGCGTGTGAGCCGAAGGCCCCGACCAACAGTCCATCCGCCCGGGGCAGCTGAGGGCTCCGTGGCTCCTGCCCGACCGCTGCATTCGTTCGCTGCAGTGGCCTGTCGTACACTTTCCGGGCTTCGGCTGGGCGGGAACCCGGGGCGTGGAGAGTCCGGGTGGGGAAGCAGAAAGGCCCGCGCCCGCTTGGGCTAGGCTGCTTCTCATTGGCCAGCCGCGCCCTCCCCAGCCCCGGGTCCCGGCTCGGCCTTGCTCCCGCCGCGGATTCCAGCCGCGCGCGCGCGCGCGCGAGTCCGGTCCCAGCGCGGTGCGGCCAGCAGGACTACAAGTCCCAGCAGGCTTCGCGCGGTGAGCGCCGCGGCCCAAGCCGAGCCCTAGCTTAGCGCCTGCGCAGTGCGGTGGCCGGAGTCTGCTAGTACCACACCCCCGGGAGGGACTGAGGGGAGGCAGAAGCATCCGAGGCATTAAAGCATCCGAGGGAGCCGGAGGGAGGAGAATGGAGTGACAGAGAAACGCGGAGGGTGGGGGGTGGGGGGGAGACTGCCACGGGAGGGGGGAGGGGGGACACGGAGGGAGGAAGACGCGGCGGCGGCGGCGGCTCCTCTGTGCAGAGGGGGAACTCCGAGGGAGCCGAGCAGGAATAATGCGGTAGGCGGCGGGCTCGGGCTCCGGCTCCGGCTCCGGCTTGGGCTCCGGCACAGCGGCGGCAGCACCGCGGCAGCACCCCAGGCGCTGACAGCTCCGCCAGCCGGCTCCTCGCTGACCGCCGACTGTCAATGGAGCTGGAAAACATCGTGGCCAACACGGTCTTGCTGAAAGCCAGGGAAGGTAAGCACGGGGCGGCGCGCCTGGCGCAGTGGCCGCGGGCCGGGGCGCGGGTGTCGGTGGCGTGTGGGCAGTGCGTGTGCAGAGTGCCCGCAGTGAGTCGCGAGCAGGACATCTCGGGGGTCTGCCCTGCAAATGCTTCGGGGCTCCTTGCCCTCTGGATCGGAGAATTCAGACTCAAGCAGAGAGGAGAAGAAAGCAATGTCGAGGGTGCTGGGCTTCGGATGCTCAAATCTCCCCTCGTTTCCAGCTCTAACCCTACAGAGCGTGCCATCTCGGCAGTTGCTGAAAGGTCTGTTGGAAAAACATTAATTCAGGGAGAGATGAACAAACATTCAAAAAAAAATAAAAGCCTTTCGAGCCGATCCCGGATGGTTCTGTGAGTGTGAATTGGTGTGAGTGAGTGTGTGTTGTTGGGGTGTGGAATTAGCCGAAGCCAAGTCTCTGCTTGCGCAGGCTGAGTTGATAGAGGTTACTGCTGGAAACCAGCGGATGGGAATGTTTCTTAGGGAAATCCCATCGTGTGGAAGGAAGCCTTTTAAAGGTAAAGTAAGATGTTGAGGAATTAGCCTGTTCATAGAATAACGAAAGGATAGTTGTACAAATTACCAAGAAAATGAGTCAGGATTTCAGGGGTGGGTGGTTTTTTTTTTTTTGTTTTTTTTTTTTTGGTGATAGTGGGGGAGAGATCACAGAACTGTTTGATTTCTGGTACAGTTAAAAATGATGGTAAGCGTGCCGGTGGGTAGATGCATTTTGGGTGCATAATCATTAGATTTCCTGCATATAACTGGGTAGGAAATATTGTCTAAATAGAGTGGGTAAGATCTAAAGTCAAACACAGAAACACATATTTTGACTCTTCCTTGAGGCATTTTTTTTTCTTCTTTTCTTAAAGTAGCTCATAAACTTACATGCCTCCTGAAATGATTATGTTGTGTGCATGTAAACACCTATTTAGGAACACCTGGAATTTATGTAACATCTCTTTGCCAAGATTTGAGTTCTGATGTGCAGCCTCTTTATAAAAGGGGAAGTGGGTTTTCCCTTTCATGAGCGCTGGTTTTAGCTGACACCCCAGGTAGACTAAGGCAGCTTAAGTAAGGTCTTAACTTTAGAAAGAAGCTCCAGGAGCTGCTCACAAACCTGCTTCACCTTTCAAAAATGTTTTCATTCACCCACTTTGATGAATGAAGGAAGAACTTCTGGCCGGGAATAAAATGATTTATGCTTACCCTGCTCGTTCCATTACCCTCTGGCTGTGTGGGTTGGGGATGCACCACCCTCAAACCGGCATTCACATCGTATTTTTGTCGTCACTTGTTACTCTAAAGCAGCTGCCCGGAAGGTTTGCTTTGAAAGCCCCGAAGGAAGGAAGGTGGTTGTTGTTCCTTGCCATTGAATCCTTTCTGACTCATGTGGACCCCATGTGGTACAGAACTTTCTTGGCTGTAATCTTCATGGAAGCTGATCATCAGGCCTTTCTTCCGTGGTGCCTCTGGGTGGGTTTGAACTGCTACCCTTTATTAAGCTACTTGTTAGTTGCCATTGAATCAATTCTGTCTCTTGGTGACCTCATGTGTGCAGAGTAGAACCACAATCCATAGGGTTTCAAGGCTGTGACCTTTGGGAAGCAGATCTCCAGGTTAGGGAAGGTTCAAGCTGCCAACCTTGCAGTTAGTAACCCTTGTTAGGGACTAACCTAGCTTACCTTTGGCGTAAACAGATTTTTAGGAGAGATTGTTCCTTGGTGACTTCAGGCTCAAAGGCCTGAGTATTCCCCCCTCCCCTCCCCCTTCCCCCCAGTTTATTCTGACTCTTTTAGCAAACTACCCAGGCGCTGGTATGGAGGGGTTCTGGAGGGGTCCTGAAGAGACCACAGCCCCTCGCTAGTGTCTTCTGCTGTCGGCCACCTAGTGGTAGGATGTGGTAGGACCGCTCAAGGACTGGGGGTGGGGTGGGGGGGTGGAGGAGGGTTGGGACAGTTTTCACCCTCCCTCCATTCGGAAATGATTTCTTGGGAAATCACTAGGATGAGAGAGCTAGCGGCCTTCTCGCTTCTTCTCTTCCTCCCCAGGCCCTTCCTGCTGCCCAGGAAATTCTCCCCAGCCTGGGTCTAGACATTCCTTGGTCAGGGGGTGGGGGTTTGCATCATTTTTCTTTTGCCCTCTTCCTTCTCAGCATTTGATTGCTTCTTGTAAAATGTATTGCTTTGAATGGCCAAAGTGAGTGGTACCATGGTACCCCTCTTTCCTTAGAGTCTCTACCCGAGAGTGTTCCCAAAGTGAATTTCCCGCATGGAATTTCTCTTGGGTAGGCTAACAAATTGGTTTTCTCAGAGCCCTAGCCCTCGAGAGTTGTGGAACTTCCATTGGGTTGAATTACAGAGATGTAAAGTGCTCAGAGAACTGGCCTTTTACTTCTCCTTTCCCTTTTAAAGTCTTTTCAGTTTCTCTCAGAGTGTTTGATGGTCTTCAGGAGTGAGAAAATCGCCCTTGACGACGCCTTTGAATGAGAGGGTTGACACAACACAGAGTAACCGTTTACCAGAAACATCATTTCAACTTGGGGCTCCCCCTCATTTTCTTCATTATGTCCAGATAGAATCCACAGTGGTAACAGCTTTCTTTTGTGTGGGCTTTTCTTTAAGATTCGAGCACCTATATTCTAATTGGAGCTCTGGTAGCGTAGTGGTTACGAATCGGGCTGCGAACCTTAAGGTCAGCGGTTCGAAACTACCAGCCGCTCCGCGGGAGAAAGATGAGGCTTTCTACTCCCGTAAAGATTTACACCCTCGGAAACCCTGTACAGGGTCGCTATGGGTCGGAACCGACTCGACGGCACTTAACAACAACAACAACAACATATTCTAATTAGTGTGGAAGATTTTAGAAATAAAAGTAATTTATTTTTCCCTTCTCAGTACTAATATACTTGAAATCACTCTTACAGGAACAATTTCTCCAAAGAGTCCTGTCCTTCAAATATTCAGGAATGAACATTGTACTCAGTGAATGAACTACTTCATGTAAAGAAGATAATATCCTAAATTATCTGAAATGTTAAAAATGTTTAAGGACACATCTTAAAGATTCTTGTAAATGGTTACAGATGAGAAATAGAATCAGGGCAAACGTGAAATTTAATTTTGTTCACTTAACAGAGTACATAGTAAACAATTTAAAATGTGGCTTTCAAGTATAAGTCACATTTGTCCCAAACAATTGAGAAACAGACCTTGAAGAAAGACAGACACGAATTGAGAATGATGTGAAGGGAACTGTAGTTGTCAGTGGGTAGTTTGGGGGCCAATCTTTTGTGGTTATGATACATTCTTAAAGGCAGAGGGCTCCTGAATTCATTGTAGATTTCAATTCTTAACCATAATAAAACATGTGTAAAGTGGAAAAATTAATGTAGTGAAAAAGTGATCCGGGGAGGGTTGAGAATTAGAAAACATAGCAAGCACTTTGCACCTTTGTGACCAACCAAATATCCCAAACCCATTGCTGCCCACTCAATTCTAATCCTCAGTCACTTTATAGGACAGAGGAGAACTGCTCCAAAGGGTTTTGACGCTGTCATCTTATATGGGGGAGTGTCCGTGTGGTGCTGTAGGACAAGCACTGGACCACAAGGTCGGTGTGAACCACAAGGTTGGTGGTTTAAACTCACCAGCCGCTCCTCGGAAGTCCTATCCAGGTCTCTATGAGTTGGAACCCACAACCATCTTTGTGGAAGCAGACTGCTACATCTTTTTCCCACGGAGTGGCTGGTGGGTTCAGACCACTGACCTTTAGTTTTTAGCCAAGCACTTAACCACTGCACTACCAGCCTTATAACTTTTGTTACAGTTGTTTTGAAATAAGAAAAGATAAGCGATCTAGGTTCAAATTTTTTAAACTGCTGAAATGTACTTTGTGGCTGTTTATTTGTCTTAGTCTCCTGAGAAACATCAACTTGTTCACTCTTAAGAGCTTTAGATTAGTCTCTTAAAAAGTGGTAAGGAAAAAAAATGAAAGAAGTTTAGCCTGATGCCATGCCAAGTTATGGTTAAGTATATAATGAAAAAGAATTTCAGGAATGGGTTCAATATAGGATCCAATTCACCTTTAATTACTGCAATCATTTCCAACTCATAGAAATCTGGTAGGGAAGAGCTACCCACAGGGTTCCCACGGGTAGAAGTCTTGATGGGAGCAGATTGCCCCATCTTTTCTCACCGGCAGTGGCTGGTGGGTTCAGACCACAGATCTTTCCGTTAGCAGCTGAGCATAAGCACTCGATTGAAAGGTCGTTTCGAACCTCCAGGTCTGCAGTACAAAGTCATCAGCTGTTCTCCAAAACCCTATACAGGGCACTATGAGTCAGAACTGATTCGAGGGCACTAACAACAATGCTTAACTGTTGCATCACTAAAAAACAAACTCACCCTAACCCACACTCACTGCCATTGAGTTGATTCCGACTCAGTGACCCTATATAGGGTTTCCAAGACTGTAAATCTTTATGGCGGCAGGCAGCCTCATCTTTCTCCCATGGAGTGGTTGGTGGGTTTAAACTCGGGTAGTTTCACAAGAACATTGGAAATTCCCAAGCATGAGCTAAATAGCTCTGTGGCACTGTGGGTTAATGCGCTAGAATGCAAGGTTGGTTTGAACCTCAAGGTCATTGGCGGTTCAAGCTCACCAGCTGCTTCTGGGAAACCCTATACAGGGTCACTATGAGTCGGAACTGACTCAAGGGCACTTAACAACAGCAACAACAAAGGTGAAGTTAGGAGTCCAGTGCTTATCCTACAGTACCATCAAGACTCCTAAAATTCACCTTTTCCAAGGGCTATTAAGCACTGGCCTGCTAACTGCAACTTGGGCAGTTCAAATCCACCAGTTGTTCCTCAAAACCCCTATTACAAGATCACCACGAGTCAGAACTGACTTGATGGCACTTAGCAACAATAATAAATTCAGCTCATGCCTGGGGACTTTTGATGTTCTTGTGAA